TCTCTGCATTCCCAAGTCCTTCCAGAGAAAGTTATTTCTTTCAATGATGTATCATCTACATTCCATAAACACACACATACACAAACTGAAAATGTTAATCACTTTATAAAACTATTTTAGAATATGAGATTAGCTGTGATACTTCCTATGCTATAAATGTATCAATGACTTATTTTAATTAAAGGAAAGAAGGAACAAAGGAAGGAAGAAAACAAAGGATATGTAATATGTAGGTTTCAATTATTTGGATCAAGTGTGAGGAAGGAATTTTGCACACTATCTCAATATAGTCTGACAAGATTATGTTATTCTGTATATAATATCAGTGTCTGCTCTTCATTCACCACCATGAAGATCTTGAAATTGAGTCCATAGCTGGGGTCAACTTACCCATTTAACAATAATTTTTTTTTCAATTACATGAACACAATTCATGTGTATGTTAAACCAGCTGGTTGTGGCTTAGGAATATTCATATCAAGAGCTGTCCATAAATCATTTAGAAATAGGTTAAACTTTAATAATTCAGTCCCATATGTGTCATGATTTTTGGGCTATATCAAACTATGCTTATAGAAGCCTCTGGAATGACATAATTTTTAGTTGAAGATGTATGTAATCTAATAGTAGGAACAAGCTAGAGATATGGGGCTCAGTTCTTGGACTTGAGTTTCGAGATATTGTCGGCTGAAAGGCATCTGGTACCATCCAAAGCCTATACAGAGTCATTTATATTTAATTTCAAAGGAAGATTCAGCAAAGTTGCATGAAGTGCTTTGAATCAGACTGTGTTTTGAAGAAAGAGCAGAGGGAGAAGCTGCAGATATAATCTATGCCCCAGCACATCTGGTTCATAACTACACTTCAGAAGTACGTTGTTACTCAGGTCTGACTTTGTGTGGTCCTTCCTAGCTGCCTGAATGAGGCACCAGTGACTCTGTGTAGCCATTCTGGGTTCAGAAGTAAAGAGAGCATGCTGTTTGCTGTGGCCAGGCTTGAGGGGGTGAGATGGTTTCTGGCGACAGAACAGAGTAAGAAAGGGGCTAGAATGGGCTAAGTCATTCTCAAAGTGTCAAGACAGAAACCTGTGTGTACAAGTTTTACTTTTTGCTTTAATCATCCACATCACCTGCCCCCAGAAATTCAGTAACCCAAGGAAACTTGAACAAATATATTTAATGATGGTCATAATTTTGAGATCCTTCTTGATGCCTCATAACTTCACATATGTAGTTTCATCCAGCAGCAATATGATTCTGTCTAAAACACAGAGCCTAGTGGGGTTTTCAGAATTCTCCATGGCTTTGCCTTTTGTATCTATCAATTTAATTTTGCTTTATTGCTGGAATTTTTGGAGGCATTTGGAAAGTTGAAAGCCTTGCTCCCCTTGTGAATGAGATTTTAAGTTGTTATTCCCCTCTTTTGCTTTGCTTTTCTAGGAGAGGCATGCACATTCACACTAAATGCTGTGTCCTGACACCATTGTCACTGGACAAGAGGAAGGCGTGCAAGACTGAGAAATAGCATTTGAAGTGCTGAACCTATGGACCCACTCTCAATCTCAGGTATCAAAGTCTGTCTCAGAGTCCCAGATCAAAGCTCACTTGATTCCACACAAAATCAGATGTTAAAAGGAAAATCTGAAGTTATTTAAAATATAGAATAAGAGATGAATATAGAGGCAGTTTGTAGGCAGTTGGGTCCCCTGTTACCTGGAAACTGTCTTCTTCCCCTTCTCTACATTATATAGACAAGAGATCCAACTACTGTGTTTCTGAGGTATATTATTACTTTTTATTATGGCCAATGTTACCTAATTATTAAGGTCCACAAAGAAGATACAGGTGTGTACATTCAGAGTACATATTGGGGGATTCTCATTTTGTTAGATAACTGATTTATTTGCAAATGATGATATTATCTCCATCAAAATAATCCTGATGCCAGTGTGATGCTTTGGTTCTAATGTCTAGTTATAAGGTGCCTTCTTTAAAATAGCAGCTTAAAAGAATATTAAAATACAACAACAACTATAGGTGCCAAATTATATTTTAAAGTGTCTCTTGTAGAGTGGGTTAAAACCATTTCCCCAATTTAATATCATTTGGTTTCTAAGGGAACATCACATAAATTCTTTTTATCTACCATACTAAAATGCATGCTGTTGGTAATAGTTTGTAAGTGAGAATACTGTGTAGATATAAGTCAAACGAAATAACACATGCCACTACATTGTTACAGTCACAATTCCTAAGAGAAGAGATGTAGATGGCATCATTTAGGACAAATAAAAATATAATTCTTTTCCAGCTTGAAGTTTGAATGAACAGACATTTTATATAGTACCTCACAAACACATACAGCAACATTGTAACTACAATAATCAACTGTAATAGATTAGCAAAATGATAACAGTTTGGACCATTATTTCAGACTATAGTTTTGAAAATGCACTTAAATTATAATGTGTGAAAGACGTAGTTGACATCCTGTTGGGGATAGATAAGAAATCTCTGGCATGTTCTTCATCGTGACATATGTGGCAATGTAAATGTATACTTCTCTAGGTAAAATCATATGAACTAATATAGAGTTTGTGATTCTTCTGACAAATTAAGATACATAAATACAATGCTTCTCTCTAGGCCTATCACTAGTAATGAAGTGGATTTCCAATGATGCTTTTCAAATATGCTTCCCATAGATATTCTTAAGTATAGAGAGAATAACTATGTGTTTAGAGTAGTTGCTTAGACAAATCTTTACAAAAAGCAAGAGAAATAGATTGGATATTCCTGGAAGTCCCTTCCAGCCTAATGGTTACAAAATACGTTGTTTATCACCAACATGTTTATTGATTTAATATACCATATTAAGTTCTGAGTTACTGAAGACAATAGGCATAAATGACATCAGTGAGCTTGTTCTCTCCCATGCTTCAGTGCTACAAGGAGCCCATTAACATTGCTAAGGCATTTTCTAATATCAGCATGAGGACTGAGGTGCTCCCAGCCTGCTCTCTGTCCATACTGGCTGTAAACTTCCCCATTGTCCAGAGACATAGGCCCACAGAAGAGGGGGATCAGGCAAAGGTTTAGAGCTCAAAGTCTATTTCCTGTCTTAGCCACATAAAGAGTATCACACTCATGTCCTTGTAAACCCCCAGGGCAAGAAAATAACTCAAATTATAAAAGGGATCATGATTATAACAAATATTTGCATATCTAAAAATGCCTTATAGTCACACACATAGTAAATTAAAAAAAATTAAATAAGCCTCACAGACTACATTGGAAACTAGTAAATATACTCCTTAACTGAGTTATGTTATAACCAAACCATAATGCAGCCAAAATCCCAGAACAGAAAAGAAATATCTTGCATTCAGTAGACATAAGCTATCAATGATTAAGAAAATGACCTCTCCAAGGTTTCAAGGAAACAAATGCTTCCAGCTTCTTAACCTCAATGGAAACTTAGATTTTATATCTGATCCAAAACAGAAAAATTCTGGACACATGGTGCTCCTAATTTTAGTGTGAGTCAGTAATAACATTTTCATGCAGTATTGATTCAATGGAAACAGGTCTTCATTTGAGCGGGACATGCAATGGAATCCTATCTGTAACTATAATGATTCCTAGTTCTGAAGATTATACCTACTTCAGTGTTCATAAGGCGATTCACTGAATTTAAAAGCCACATCAATCAAACTGCAGAATATTTTTTAAAACTTCAAAGCCATAAAATACAGAGGTTTCCTTGCTTTGTCTCATACAAGAAGCAACAACATTCTTGGCAAAATGTCCTGACACTTCTTTGTCACTAATGCCAGTATCCAGGAATTTGCTCTCAAGAATAGCAGTCAGCTCTCAGGAGGCATCAACTGGAGAAGAGGAAGGGGGTAACTAACCTGTCATTTAGTTGAATGCCGTTTATTACAATGCAGTTTAGTGTTGCGAAAGCTACCTATATTTATAAGTGCTAAGTTGAAAAGGGTCCAGTGTAGCAAAGCATTTCATTTTAACTGATGTTTGTTAGAAGGTGGCAAAAAGACCTTTCTTTAATCTTGGTTACAGATATATCTGGTATTAGGATATTCCATTTCCTCCGGATTCCATGCTACATTAATTAAATCTAAAAGATAAGGTACTATTTACTAAGCAGACATATAATTCTTTCTCAGTATCTGAAATCCTTGGTTATAGGTATTCTCAGTCCAAGCACTAATTTCTCTAAATAAGCAAAACTATATGAGATTAATAGGTTAGCATTATCTAATATATTAACGATACAGAAGCAGATTCTGAAACTCTAATCATGTTGTGTGAAATGTAGTTATCTAGAAGAGACATGTATAAAAATAGGTAATATCCCTAAAATATTTTGCCGAGTTACAATTCTTCCAGTTGAGAAGTTTACCACACTGCCATGATACATGTATGAAATGTCTGTTCAGAAAAAGAAAATTAGAAAATATTCCTCACTCACCAGCTTACTAAATGTAGGAATATATAATCAAAACTGGCTCTTAAAAGTGGTACAAATATATAGGGAAAGATACTTGTATGCATGATAAACGAGAAAACATGGAATCTATTTATTGGTTAGTTCTGAAAGGGGGCCCACACTTGTAATTAAAATATATGAATATATATATATATGACCAAAAACACTCATACGAATGGACACATCTTATTTCCCTCATCCTCCGGCTTTTTATTGACAGTGGTCACCTCTACCTTTTAGTAGGATTATTGCCTGATATAATACAGAAATTTTGTGGGTTGTTCTCAGCAAAGCAATGAAAGAGACACAATCTCTTTCCACTCTCCTGTGGTGACCCATGTTCTGGGCTTGTGCTTTTTGGAGGAGTCTTTGATCTGCAGCAGGTCTCAGAGGCTTGTCTCCCGGAGAAACATGGTGCCGATGTTGTAGGAAACCTTTTTTATTCTCGACGAAGAAAGAGAAGGCTTTGGTGGCTTTGGACCAGTCCTTACCTCCAGGAAGTAGCAAATCCCAGGAATTTCCTTTGGAAAGTTGTCTGGAAGCTCTTCACGAGACCGTGGAATGAATGTGAAACTTTCTTCCCGTTTTAATAATCTAAGAAGAAAATACAGAGCACATGAATCAGGTAGGCCAGGGAAATGTAAATACATGGAAAGAAATTTTAAAGGCTCAGGAAGCCTATCTCTGACTGCTCAAGGTAACACCTCTATTTCTTTGTATAGATGTGGCCTTCATAGGATTCCAGCTGCTAGGAAATGTTATAACCTAGAAAAGATCCCTTCATGTAATAGTAATTAAAAAGAAAACACCAAAGCTGGGTATAGTACTACCTGAAAATATTTGTTCAAGATTGATTTCTTTCTAAACAGCATTCCTTGAAAATTCTTATTCAAATATGATCGTTTTCCCTAAACCAAGGGCCAAGAAAACTGTGTAATACAATTTTTATTTCAAGCACGCAGGATTTACCTTGTCTGTTTTTAAAACCTGCCCAAATGCTAGTGCACTCCTTTTACATTTGTTAAACCATAAGCTTTAAATGTGTGTCCTGTATGTAAAAAACATTAATCAACTATTTAACTTTGTAGGGCAACATTTCATGACTCCCAATGTCTCTGATATCTGCTTGCTGATTTCTAGCCAAGCATGCTATCCAAATGCACTAGTATTATTGGTTAAACAGCTTGATTCTTCCCTTCCAGTCACACTTACAGACTCTTTTTCAGGACACTGACATTGGAATAAATTTATCCTTTAAACTTGTCCAGTTCTATGAAAGGTTCAGTTTGATACCTATTTCTGTAAGTGTGGCCCAACAATTCAATTTAATTCTACAGATTTCTGTAGAATATTTCTTATTGCCCAATAAGAGCCTCCTAGACACTTATGTGAATATAAAAAGTAGAGCACTCCTAAAAAGCTCACAGTTTTGTCAACAGATACAGAAACAGAAAATAAAAGAAGTAAAAAAAATTCAATACATGAACAAAACATAGAGTAATATAAAAGTATAAAACAGAATAGGCTAGATGCCATTCAGAAAAGTAGACACAAAAATTGCAGAAGTATAGAAAAAAAAAAAAAGTATTTGCAGTGGGAGGGCCACAAAGCCTTCATGGACTAGATGTTATTTAAAGTCGTGTACAGCTTCAATAAATGGATACAGAAAACAATGTAATCAAAGGGTTAGAAACAAGAAAACTGTAAAGTTTCTAACCTTATAATAGGATTATCCAGTGAGGTAAGAATGAGGATTAAGGTGGGGAAAGTAGGTTAGGAAAAAGCTTTAAAGCCCTAAACTAAGTGTTTAGATTTTATTTGGAAAGCACCTTGGAGCCACACTCATTATCTTTTTCTTAAAAGCAACTCATTCTCCTAAAACAGATTAATGTTAGCAGTAGATCCAAGTTATGCTGTGTAGGAGACAGGTCCTGGCAAAAGAAAATGAGCACAAGAAGAATAAAGGATGTATGAACATATAAGAACACGGCACAATCAATTATGATAATCTCTACACTAAGGAGAAGAAGAAAACATTACTCCTTCTCGAATGCTATTAACCTACTACCTAAAACAACAGCTGGTAGTACTAATAAGTTATAATATGAACAGTCTATATTTACTTTTAAAAATCAGAGCTACAATATTTTGATTGCTAAAGGATATAATGGCAGTTCTAATTGATCGCTGTTTTAAAAAACACAACACAATGATTATATTCATTTGGTATGTAAAAAATGAGGCTCTTTCTAACATTTCAAAATTCTTTCAAAAGCTTCACCTGATTTTATTCACATAATATAGCTGGACGCAAAAACTAAAAGTACATATTATGCATCCAACAAAGGTCTAATATCCAGCATGTATAGGAAATATAAATTTACAAGAAAAAACCCATATTAAACAGTGGACCAAGGACATGAACAGACACTTCTCAAAAGAAGACCTACATGAAGCCAACAAGCATATGAAAAAAAGCTCAACATCACTGATCATTAGAGAAATGCAAATCAAAACCACAATGAGATACCATTTAACACCATTCAGAATGGCCATTATTAAAAAGTCAAAGTCCAGGCATGTTGGCACAAGCCTGTAATCCCAGCACTTTGGAAGTCTGAGGTGGGTGGATCATGAGGTCAGGAGTTCAAGACCAGCTTGGCCAACATGGTGAAACCCATCTCCTCTAAAAATACAAAAAAATTAGCCTGGTGTGTTGGTGCATGCCTATATTCCCAGTTACTTAGGAGGCTGAGGCAGGAGAATCTCTTGAACTCAGGAGGTGCAGGTTTCAGTGAGCTGAGATCATGTCACTGCACTTCAGCCTGGGTAACAGAGTGAGAATCCGTCTCAGAAACCAAAAAAACATCAAAAAATAACAGACACTGTCGAGGTTTTGGAGAAAAAGGGACACGTATACACAATTGGTGAGAGTATAAACTGGTTCAGCCATTGTGGAAGACAGTGTGGAGACTCCTCTAAGACCTACAGACAGAAATACCATTGATCCAGCAATCCCATTATTTGGAATACACCCAGAGGAATATAAATCATTCCATTATATAGACACATGCATGTGTATGTTCACTGCAGCACTATTCACAATAGCAAAGACCTAAATGTCCATCAGTGGTAGACTGTGGTACATACACACCATAGAATACTATGCATCCATGAAAAAATAATTATCATTAGCAAACCAATGCAGTAACAGAAAACCAAATACTGCATGTTTTCATTTATAAGTAGGAGCTAAATGATGAGACCACATGGACACATAGAAGAGAACAACACACACTGGGGACTTTTGGAGGCTGGATGGTGGAGGAAGGGAAGAGGGAGAGATTAAGAAAAAAAACTAACCAGTAGTAGTGTTAATACCTAGGTGACAAAATAATCTATATAACAAATCTTCATGACACCTATATAACAATATAATAACCTTCCACTTGTACCACTGAACTTCAAAAAGACTACAATGCCTGCTTTTTTTTTTTTTTTTTTTCTCTCCATTTGCTTAGTAAATCTTCCTCTATCCCTTTATTTTGAGCCTATGTGTGTCTTTGCACATGAGATGGGTCTCCTAAATACAGCGCACCAATGGGTCTTAACTCTATCCAATTTGCCAGTCTGTGTCTTTTGATTGGGATGTTTAGCCCATTTACATTTAAGGTTAATATTGTTATGTGTGAATCTGATCCTGCCATTTTGATGCTAGCTGGTTGTTTTGCCTGTTAGTTGATGCAGTTTCTTCATAGTGTCCATGGCTTTTACAATTTGGTATGCTCTTGCAGTAGCTGGTGCTGGTTGTTCCTTTCCATGTTTAGTGCCTCCTTCAGGAGCTCTTGTAAGGCAGGCCTGGTGGTGACAACATCTCTCAGCAATTGGTTGTCCATAAAGGATTTTCTTTCTCCTTCGTTTATGAAGCTAAGTCTGGCTAGATGTGAAATTCTGGCTTGAAAATTCTTTTCTTTAAGGAAGTTGGATATTGGCCCTCCCTCTCTTTTGGCTTGTAGCATTTCTGCCGAGAGATCCACTGTAAGTCTGATGGGCTTCCCTTTGCGGGTAACCTGACTTCTCTCTCTGGCTGCCCTTAGCATTTTTTACTTCATTTCAACCCTAGTGAATCTGACCATTAAGTGTCTTGGGGTTGCTCTTCTTGAGGAATATCTTTGTGGTGTTATTTGTATTTCCTGGATTTGAATGTTGGCCTGCCTTGCTAGGTTAGGGAAGTTCTCCTGGATGATATACTGAAGAGTGTTTTCCAACTTGGTTCCATTCTCCCCGTCACTTTCAGGTCCCCCATCAAATGTAGATTGGGCCTTTTCAAATAATCCCATATTTCTTGGAGGCTTTGTGCATTTCTTTTCACTCTTTTTTTCTCTAATCTTGCCTTCTTGCCTTATTTCATTGAGTTGATCTTCAGTCTCTGATATCCTTTCTTCTGCTTGATCGATATGGCTATTGAAACTTGTATATGCTTCACGAAGTTCTAGTGCTGTGTTTTTCAGCTCCATCAGGTCATTTATGTTCTACTCTATGCTGGTTATTATAGTTAGGATTTCATCTAACCTTTTCCTAATCTCTGATAAAACAGACTTTAAAACAACAAAGATCAAAAGAGACAAAGAAGGGCATTACATACTGGTAAAGGGATCAATACAACAAGAAGAGCTAACTATCCTAAATAGATATGCCCCCAATACAGGAGCACCCTGATACATAATGCAAGTTCTTAATGACCTACAAAGAGACTTGGACTCCCACGCAATAATAGAGACTTTAACACCCCACTGTCAATATTAGACAGATCAATGAGACAGAAAATTAACAAGGATATCAAGGACTTGAACTCAGATCTGGACCAAGTGAACCTAATAGACACTTGCAGAACTCTTCACCCCAAATCCACTGAATATACATTCTTCTAAACATCACATCACACTTTTATTCTAAAATTGGCCACATAATTGGAAGTAAAACACTCCTCAGCAAATGCAAAAGAATGGAAATCATAACCGTCTCTCAGACCACAGTGCAATCAGATTAGAACTCAGGATTAAGAAACTCACTCAAAACCGCACAACTACATGGAAACTGAACAACCTGCTCCTGAATGACTACTGGATAAATAATGAAATGAAGGCAGGAATAAAGATGTTCTTCAAAACAAATGAGAATGAAGGCACAATATACCAGCATCTCTGGGACACATTTAAAGCAGTGTCTAGAGGGAAATTTATAGCAATAAATGCCCACATGAGAAATATGGAAAGATCTAAAACTGACCCCGTAATGTCACAATGAAAAGAACTAGAGGAGCAATAAATTACTAAGATCACAGCAGAACTGAAGGAGACACACAAAAAAATCAGTGAATCCAGGAGCTGGTTTTTTGAAAAGATCAACAAAATAGACCACTAGCCAGACTAATGAAGAAAAGAGAGAAGATTTAAATAGATGAAATAAAATATGATAAAGGTGATTTCACTACCGATCCCACATAAATACAAACTACCATCATAGAATACTACAATCACTTTTATGCAAATAAACCAGTAAATCTAGAATAAATTATAAATTCCTGGACACTT